AATCAAAACATTAATTTATGGTTGGTATATACCTTATAAACATAGCCCAGAGGTAATTTTAAACATAGATCTTAAAATAATTCTGTACATAAAACAAAGTTTGTGTACACTGAGCCATCAAAAAGCAAAGAGGTCACTATCTCAGCCACCCATGAAGAAGGATTTGGATTTTGAAGTATTTTGGATTTTGGAATTTCAGGTAAAGGAGACAGCCTATATTGCAGAGGATGTAGCGGGGCTGTCCAGGGTCAGGTATGTGTGGGATAATATTACCCCTAGTTTTCCACAGTTACCCATCTCAAACTATAGGAACAGAGCCGGGTGCTTCATCCACCCCTCCACCGGCCAATATAGGCTTGCCATAGTCTGGTTTGGCTGGGGTTTATCCAGATTATAAACAAGCTACCTGGTGCCCAGTGGAGATTTTAATTTGGGTCAACCTGTTCCATCTCCAGCATTTAAACATTAGTCTATACTGGTACGCTCAGATCAGTGGTTACAAGGCTGTGACACAGTGGAAGAAAAAAAAATGCAACAATTAATGTGCTACATTTGCATAATTGGAATGCAAATTAGAGTAACTTGCATAATTAGAGTAACTTGCAACATATGGAAATTATATGCCCAGATCTGAGAAAGTGGATATAGCAATCCTACCAGTGGTGTGTGTTTGTTTGTGAGTGTGTAGGGAAGTGAACTGAAGCAGCTGAAAGGTAGTGGTGGGGGTTTGGGCAAGGTTGACTGTTGGGCAAGATGGGTAGAGGGTTCCAAACTCAGCGGCAACCAAAGAAATGAGTTAGACTCATAGAATCATAGAGTTGGAAGAGATCCCAAGGGTCATCCAGTCCAACCCCTTTCTGCCATACAGAAAGACACCATCAAAGTCTTCCCAGCAATGCCATCCAGCCATCAAAAACCTCCAAAGAAGGAGACCCCACAACTCTCCAAGGCAGCATCTTCCACTGTCAAATAGCTCTTACAGTCAGGAGGATCTTCCTAATGTTTAGATTGAATCTCTTTTCCTGTAGCTTGAATCTATTCCTCTATGTCCTAGTTTCTGGAACATCAGAAAACAAGCTTGCTTCCTCCTCAATATGACATCCCTTTTAAATATGTAGACATATTTATCATATCACCTCTTAACCTTCTCTTTGACAAGGTCCCCCATGATATTCTTGCAAACAATACAGTAAAATGTGGGCTAGACAATGCCACTGTTAGGTGGGTTTGTAATTTGTTGAATGGATGAACCCAAAGGGTGCTCAGCAATGGCTCCACTTCATCTTGGAGAGAACTGGATGGCCCTTGAGGTCTCTTCCAACTCTGTGATTCTATGATTCTTCTCCAGGCTAAACATGCCAGCTCCCTAAGATGCTTCTCACAGGGCTTGGTAGTTTCCAGATCTTTCATTCTTTTGATCACCCTCCTCTGGACACACTCCAGACAGTTGTGCCGATGTCAGTTGGATGTACAATGGGTCCTTGGTATCGTCTGGGGTTCGGTTCCATGACCCTGCATGGATACCAAAATCCATGGATGCTCAAGTCCCATTAAATACAATGGCACAGTCAAATGAAAATTTGCTTTTTTGGAATGTATACATTTTTAAAATATTTACAAACTGTGGATGCTTGAAAAAAATCAGTGGATATGGAGGGCTGACTGTACATCTGTACAACCCACAAACATCACACCAGCGTTGTTGGTTGTGAGGAAACAGGTTGACCCAGAATGCTGTTATCTGGGGAAATAATCTCCCTGTGTTGGGGGACATCTGAATGTTTCTGCCTGAACCTCCAAATGGGACAGGGGGGTTGGGGTCTGTATGCTAATGCCTGCCATTTGCCCCTTGTAGGATGGAAAGCTATGAGGACCATACTTGGTGTTCCCACAGTTACCAGAGTGAGGAAGACGATGATGATTTCAGCGAGGGAGACGAACTACCCCACGACCCTCACTTGGCCAAGGTGAGGTCCAGAAGCAACAGCCGCTCCCGCCGCCGCTCTTCCTTCCTGGTGGACGAGTTGGACATGCTGATGGACAAGGCGGCCACCACCATCCAGGCTGCCTGGCGGGGGCACCTGACACGGAAGCAAATCATGGCTGAGCACGCGGCTGCCTCCATTATTCAGGCTGCCTGGAGGCGCTTCATCACCCAGCAGTACAGGGCCATCCAGCGGGACCAGATGCCCTCAGGGCAGGTCTATGGGCGCCGAAGGAAAACCCCTTCCCTGGTCTCCTTGGAGGACAAGAGAAGATCCCGAAGGCATCCCACAAAGGATAGGGAACATGCTGCCGTGGTCATTCAGGCCCACTACCGTGGATACGTGACCCGGCGGGCCCTCTCTGAGTGCAAACAGGCAGCCATCACCATCCAAGCACACTGGAGGGGTTACCGCACAAGGCAGGAGTTGGCCCAAAGCGGTAAACGCATGTACCGTCATGGCAGCCCACGGGGGACCTACTACAGCCAACCCAGCTATGTGCCCGGAAGCACTGGATGGATGGGCCCCTATCCTCGCAAGCATTGGCGTAAAGTCATGGTGGGAGACCCCGAGGAGTGGGGAAGAAAGCGGTCCCGGGCTCCACCATCCACACGGGAAAGAAAGCGTGTGGGAACCACCCAGCCAAAGATGTGCCCTCAGTGCGGGAGGTGCAGCAGTGTACGTATACTGGAGGGGGTGGGCAAGGGCCCACCCTCCGAATCAGAAATGGACGACAGCGAGTGTGAGAGCCATTCGTCTCGCTCGATCTATGGTAGGCAGAGGAGCTCAGCCTCCAAGGCCACAAAGAGCCAGAGCCCTGCCCCTAGGGCTCATTCTTATGGGGCCCATGTGTCCTACCAGGGCAGTTCCAGATCCTACTATTCTAGCACCCATCGTGTGGTGACTGAAGACCAGCCCCGGAGACAAGGCCGAGAGCCCGGAGGGATAGCCCAACGCTACGCCACGGGGCATACATCTGCCCGGCCCACCCGGGAGAGGAACACAACCCGGAGTTTCTCCTCCACCAACCTCCAGCAGCAAGGAGCTCCAAGCCCAGGCACCTCAGACTGGCTTTATGAGAATTATTGTGCCCGCCGGATGGGCGAAGGCCAGAGACGTGTATTCAAGACAAGAAAACAGCTGTGGCAAGTGGCCCGGGCTGCCACTCTCATCCAGTCCTTCTGGCGGGGGTGGAAGGTCCGGCGGGCCTTGGCTGTCCAGCAGGCAGCCGCTACCAAGATCCAGTCGGCTTACCGTGGGTACAAGACCAGAATCTACCTTATAGAGGCAGGTGTGCTGAGTGAAGGAGATACAGAATAAAGTTGTTTTAGAGGGAGAGTGTCCTGTTCAGTGAGAGGAACCGGGGTGGGTGGCTTGCTGTGCTCAGCAATGGCTCCTCTTCTTCATCCTGGAGAGAAGTGACCAGTGGGGTGTCCAGTGGGGTTCTGTCCTGGGCCCAATTTGCTATTCAATATCTTTATCAAGAACTTGGATGAAAGAATAGGGGGCATGCTTATCAAATTTGCAGATGAAACCAAATTAGGAGGAGTAGCTAATATCCCAGAGGAGAGGATCAAAATTCAAAATAACCTTAATAGATCAGAAAGCTAGGCCAAAACTAACAAATGAATCTCAGCAGGGAGAAATGTAAGGTACTGCACTTAGGCAGAACAACATGAAATGCATAGATATAAGATGGAGGATACCTGGCTCAATGTGACTATCTGTGAAAGGGATCTAGGAGTCCTAGTAGACCACAAGTTGAACATGAGTCAACAGTGTGATGCCGCAGCTAAAAAAGCCAATGGAATTCTAGGTGCATCAATAGAGGTATAGTGTCTAGATCAAGGGAAGTAATAGTACTACTCTATTCCACTTTGGTCAGGCCCCACCTGGAATAGTCTTGTGTCCAGTTCTGGGCACCACAATTCAAAAAGGATGTGAAGAAGCTGGAACATGTCCAGAGGAAGGCGACCAGAATGGTGAAGGGTCTGGAAACCATGAATCCCTATGAGGAGCGGCTTAGGGAGCTGGGAATGTTTAGCCTGGAGAAGCAAAGGTTAAGAGATTATATGATAGCCCTGTTTAAATATTTGAAGGGATGTCATATTGAGGAGGGCGCTAGCTTGTTTTCTGCTGCTCCAGAGACTAGGACCCGGAACAACGGATGCAAGCTACAAGAAAAGAGATTCCACCTCAACATTAGGAGGAACTTCCTGACAGTAAGGGCGGTTCGACAGTGGAACACACTCCTTCCTCGGAGATTTTGGTGGAGTCTCCTTCTTTGGACGTCTTTAAACAGAGGCTGGACGGCCATCTGTTGGGGATGCTTTAATTGTGAGTTCCTGCATGGCAGGATGGGGTTTGACTGGATGGCCCTTGGGGTCTCTTCCAACTCTATGCTTCTATAATTCTATGGCTGTTATAATTCACTTGAGGGACTGAGAAGCCATGCGATTGACTACAGTCCAGAGGTCAAGTTAGCAAAGGTATCCTAAAATCATTTTGTGGGATGGGCAGATGGGCTTGGAGGCGAGGGGATTTCAAACAGCCCCTTTGAGGTCTGACGGAGGAATACTCTTCTGGGCATCCTCTCTGCCTTGTCCCAGCTGGCATGACTAAGTTCGGTCTCAGAGTCAGCGACACCAGGGCACAACCAGACTCTCCATTCGCATTGCAGCTAGGAGATATGGCTGGTGGTTGTTGCTGAGTGCCCCCAAGTCATTTTCAACTTGAGGCGACCCTAAGGGAAACCTCTCTGCAATATTTGTTTGGGGTGTGTGTGGTTCTATTGTCTTCCTCTGAGGCTGAGAGAGTGTGACTTGTCCAAAGTTCTCCAGTGGGTTTCCATGCTCAAGTAGGGATCTGAAACCTGGCCTAGTGGTTTGAGTGTTGGATGTAGTGTTTATAATACAGCTTGTAATACAACACTGTACAGGAATTTGTTCTTATACAGTAATATAATATAACATACAGTAATATGGGCATCACATTTCAGTGACTGAGAGCCAGCGTGGCAGAGTGGTTTGAGTGTTTGACTATGACTCTGGACTATGACTATGATTCTGGGGACCAGGGTTCAATTCCCAGCTCAGCCATGAAACCCACCGGATGACCTTGGGCAAGTCACAAGCTCTCAGCTTCAAGGGAAGGCAATGGCAAACCTCTTCTGAACAAATCTTGCTAGAAAAAACCCATGGTAGGTTCGTCTTAGGGTTGCTATAAGCCGGAAACGACTTCAAGGCAGACAACACATACACACTCAGAGGCTAGGGTATCTATCATCCAACACAAAACCATTCAGGAGGAGCAAGGAAGTTCTGTATAGCAAAGGCAAAATGTGTCCAATGGGTTTCCTTCATGTAGAAAAGTGACTCTGTAGTGGCATCCATCCTACAAGGCTGCTTTTGCCATTCCTGGCTGGCTAAATGTCCCCAAAAGGGAGCAGGGACATTGGGGCAAATTAAGAGCACTGCCTCCACAAATAAGAATTTTTGTCTGTGCTGGACTGCCCTAAAGGCACCAGATCCTGTGTGATCTTGGAAGCTCAGCAGGATCAGTTTTGGTTAGTACTTAGAGGAGACTGCCAGCCAATCTTGGGTGTTGGAGGCTATATTTCCCAGGAAAGAAATGGCAAAAGCACCTCCTGAGGATTCCTTGCCTAAGAAAATCCCTTGAAATTCATGGGGTTGCCATAAGTCAACAGATAACTTGAAGGTACACACACAGAGACACACTAAAGGCATCAGATCCTGTCTGATCTTGGAAGCTAGGCAGGGTCCTTCTAATGTACCAATTGTCCTGCTTTTTTATTTCCTGGGGTAAACTCCCACAAATACCAGGTGCTATGGGCTATATTTCAGAGGAAGGAACTGGCAAAGCCACCTCTGAGTATTCCTTGTCTAAGAAAATCCTGTGAAATCCATGGTGTTGCCATATTGATGGCACATATACACACATAATCTATATTGCCAATCAGTTTCTTGGGACAAATCTTAGGAGACAGAGAAACCATTCGCAATCCACTTTCTCTGCCCTGTACATGGATTTAGAAATATTTATCACATCCCGCTTTCATTATCTTTTTCTCCAAAGTGGAAAGTCGCCAATATTTGAGCCTTTCTTCCCAGGGAAAGGCAGAGGGAATGAGGACATTGCCCACCAAATAAAAATTCTGTCTCCACCAATAGTCCTCAAATTTCTAGCAACATCCAGTAAATATTTAGAAATAGTGTTTAAGCACCCAAAGAAAAGGAGCAAAGGGACCAAGGAAATGCAAGACACAGCAAATGTGAATTCTAGGCATGAACAGTTTTCAGTGTCTCACTCTGTGCTATGCTAAACATTTGGGGGCTGAACTCAAATTCCCTTTGGGGGAGCCGAATTCTAATTCTAATTTAAGGGAGCAATGTCCTTAGTTTGCCCCCCTTTCTCCAACTACACCCCTTGCAGGGAAAGTGCACTGTATATCTTGGAAGAAAAAACCTCTACACTGTTTAACATTACATAAAACTGTTTTTCAAACCCAGAAGTGAATGTTCAGGCACTCTGGAATTGTGTATATGTTCTGGTACTTTGGGCAGTTGTTGCATTCCCCTCCAGGGGTAGAAAAGCAGCCCCTGGATTTGCTGAAGTTGCCCACCTCCAGACTTTATCACACCAGCCTGCTGTCCTGCTACAGGTGTGCTAATTTAAGTTTGGTATAATTTCTTATCATACTTTCCCCCACGATAGTGCTTTGGTGATCCATGGTCGTGTGATCCATTTTTCGCACTGCCAAATGCCATTTTTCAGGAGCAAAAGGGAACCAAGCGATTACAGCTGCCAACCGCCTCCCGAAGCTAGTTGCTGTGTCAATGTGGGAAGGTGTAGACTGCCATGTTTCTTGCTCTGCCCCCTTCCCGAAACCCCAGGCTCAATGTGCTGTGTGCACTTTCACACAACTACTCTACGCTTTAGGAGGAAGGGGGGAATGACAAGAGATTATGGCTGCCACTTGCCTCCTGAATGTGCATGCAGCACCTGCTTTGGGAAGGTGTTGGTGGCCACAATTGTTGTGAAGGGGAGAAGCAGAATCATTCCTGAGAAGTGGAACTGCTGCAGAAGGGACCTATTGCAACAAGGATAGCAGTGAGATTGAGAGCCTATTGATGGCTTTTGCCTGTCAATGAAAAGGTGTATCACCTAACAAAAGGAATGCAAGGCAGCAGCAGTATGGACACAATGTTGTGTGATGAGTACCAGCCAAAGATGCTTTTATCCTGTTAAAATTCCACTTTTATAGCCTTGTGTGAAAAATTCATGAGATCATGCACAGGAGGAAAGATCCCTGCCCAGGTCTGCTTGCTACCAATTCCTCTTTTTTCCCAATAAATAAAAGAGACAGACTCTTGGCAGCCCCTGGTGCTGGCTAAATTTTATTGGCTCTTTTGCCTGAAAAGGTCTGCCATGCTGCCTCTTCCTTCTCTGGCAGATCCCAGTGCCACCTGATATCCTGTGGCTTCCAAGCTCTTGAGAAAAATGCACTGTGTCACACTGCCAGTGGGTATGATTGTGAAGGATGGGTTGTTTCTTCCTTTGCTGGACCTACGAGTGCAGCCCTGCTGTTCAGTTCCTTGTGATTGTGTTATTATTTCTACTTGTTACAAAAGGGAAAAGAGGGAAACAAACTGGGAAAGAGAATGCTCCTACAAGAGGGTTTCCCCATCTCTGGACACAACAAGGATGTCCTGTCTCCACAGTGTGTCTTGAAGGTCCAGTGTGTCTTGAAGGGAGAAGTGGGTTAGTCAAGCTTGCACAGTGTAATAACCTTTCTAAGCCCCCTTTTCTGAATCCAGCCTCCACTGGTTTCCTTTTGACCTGCCATTGTAACTTTCTTCCAGTGAGTTGTAAATCCCTACCTGTTCAATGACAGAAGCACACTGGAAAGCAAATATTTGATCAATGGAATGGATTCAAGGTAGTCCCTGTCATTGTTCCTCTGTGCCATCAGTACAATATCCCATAATGCCTTCCGCCACCACAGCAGAATTTTAGTGGGGTATGAGAAGGCTTATGATAGACTTCCAAATCTCCATTGTAAGGACCACATGGAATGCTCCAAAACAAATCAAACTAATGCTTACCCCGAGGAATGGCAACAGAGGTACCTAGAGGGCAGAATGTACCTCACCAGTAGCCACCTATCAAGAGTAATGTCCCTGCTTTGCACTTTGGGGACAGGCTTAGGAACACACCTTCTCCTACTCCTGGGATAGAGATGCTCACCAAAGCATCATGGATTCCTCTTCCACCACCTTAAGGAAGCAGACCTATCAGAAAGGCTGGGACAGAGGCAAAAAGTCAGAAGGAGTCTACAAGCACCTCTGTGATAAGGGGGCACATCCATACCCCCCCTCTGCCAGGGTTCTGTGCCACCTGCCTGTGGTTCTATCTCTAATTATTCAACAGTGGATTTCATAAGCAATCTGCGGCTGGAACATCAATCCCTGATTGGCAAAGAGTTCATTGGCTTCCGGGGGCCGGTCTTCTTCCCCTTCCAGCGTCTGGGTGGCTTGGTCTTGCAATTGGTCCGGGAAGACCCCGGCCAGGCCTTGGGGGTCCTTGTAGGTGGCAAAGAGGGGTTTGTTGCGGTCAATGACAAACATCTCATGGCCCCTCTCATCTCGATACTCCTCCAACTGGGCAAAGGTAGTAGGTCCGTCTGAGTAGTCATTGACGTAGAGGATGTTCTCCTCCTTCCTGGCCTTCTTCCGCTTCCGGTGCTTCCGGTAGATCATGATCACCAGGAGGAGGGCAACCAACGCCAACAGGGAGATGGCCACAGCAATGGCAGTCTGGGTGGCCATGCTGAGGGCGTTAAAGTCCATGCTCTCCATGTCATAGAGGGGCTCCTGGCTGATGTCCACTGAAGCTGGGTAGCCCCGTGATGTCTGCTGCTGCTGCTGTTGCTGCTGCTGGGAAAGGTTGACCATGAGATGGAAGAACACTCTGGCCGTGCCACCTGGGTTGGAGGCCTCACACTCGTATTTGCCAGCATGGGCCACTGTCACATTGTTGAGGAAAAGCATCCCACTCCCCGTGTCCGACTGTTCAAAACGCTCCCCCACGCTGCGCTCACTCAGCTCGAAGGTTCCTCCTGGCACTCGGGCACTGCTGGTTTTGGAGCCTCCCGCTCGCCAATGTGCCAGCTTGCGCCATGTCACCAGTGGCTGTGGGTAACCCGAGGCCTGGCAGGAGACCCGCAAATCATCTCCTAGCCGGGCCATCACCTCAAGGGGCTCCACTTGCACTACTGGTGGGATACAGATCAAGCTGTTGCCAGAGACATCCATCAGGCTCTGGTAGGCCAAGCGTGGGGGCTCTGAGCACACAATCTTCTTATCTAGAGGACCCAAGAGCCGTTGGCCTTCCTCTTTGATCCAAGAGCTAAGCCAGTGGAGAGAGCAGTCACATCGCCAGGGGTTTTCTGTCAGGAGAAAACAGAGCATCTTTGTCACTTAGGATTTTTGTCCCCAACTCCCATGAGTATATCTATGGCAGTGGTTCTCACAGGATCATAGAGGTGGAATTGGCCATAAGGGCTATCCAGTCCAACCGCCTTCTGCCATGCAGGAACACACAATCACAGCACTCCCAAGAGATGGCCATCCACCCTCTGTCTACAAACCTCCAAAGTCTAGATCAAAGGAAGTAATATCGCTGCTCTATTCTGCTTTGGTCAGACCTCACCTGGAATATTGTGTCCAAATGCATCCAAGGAATACATCCGAGGAATACGACTTAAGTCTAGGAAAGCTCATTCTGCCAACTTCTTTCTTTAGTTAGTCTCAAAGGTGGTACAAGATCTCTCTACGTACTGTTCTACGGACTTACATGGCTATATCTTTGAATTCTACCACCACTGCCGATTCCTTTGGCTTGCTTTCTTTTATTCTCCCTCTCTCCCTCCTCCTTATGGGTGCTAGATGCACCCATAAGGACTTGTTACCCCAATGCCAGAGTAACCCACAATGGGGGAATTGTATTAGCTCAGTTAGAAGCAGCGGAGAGGGCTTGGACTGAAGACTGAGCCAGGATGTGCACTCCTGGCCAGCAGGTGGTGCTAAGGAGCTGTCTGTGGTCCTGGCATCCCCTCACCTGTCAGCCGCAGCACCTGGAGGCTGATAAGGGGCTGCAGGGTTATCCGGCTGATGGTGCGGAGGTTGTTCTTGCTGAGATCTAGCAGCGCCAGCGAAGTCAGCCCAGCCAGGGCCTGGTCTTCTAGAGTCTCTATGCTGTTCTCTTGCAAGTGGAGTTCTTGCAGCCTCTGCAAAAGGAGAACCAGGCCGCAAGGTTACTTACTCCTATTAACAACACTGAGGTCATTTCAATGACTTATTCTTTATTTCTACTACTGCTGTCTCATCTCTCCACCAGATTCTGTTGCCTGCTTTAAGCTCTGATGCAGGGGTGTCATTAGAAGGGTGCGGGACACACACACAGCACCAGGTCACACCATCTGAGGGGGTGACACCAGGCAGAAGCAAAGTGTCCCAAGGTCCCTGCCCTGGAAATAAAGGGGGAATTCTTCTTGGCATGCTGCTCCCTTTTTTGGAGAGCCAGCGTGGCGTAGTGGTTTGAGCGTTGCACTATGACTTTGGAGACCAGGGTTTGATTTCCAGCTCGGTCATGAAACCCACTGAGTGACTTTGGGCAAGTCACATGCTCTCAGCCTCAGGGGAAGGCAATGGCAAGCCTCTCTGAACAAATCTTGCCAAGATAGATTTGCCTTAGGGTTGCTATAAGTTGGAAATGACTTGAAGGCAGACAAAACACACACAGGAATGAAGCTGCAGACCTTTCTCTTTGCTCCCCCACTGTAGCCTCCCCATCCTGATCTTTTTGACTCCTTCCCACCATTGTCCTCTGGAAGGGGATGTTTGCTGCCATTTCCTCTTTCTGTCTGGGAGGAGATCTTTTGTCATTAAAAACTGTTCTTGTTAAGGGAGCATGTCCCGTCTTTCAAGTCTTGGCTGGGATGGGGGATTCTGGTGGCAGGATGCTGGGTTCCCCAGGGTGAGACCCTCCTCCTCCCCATCAGCACCTGCATCCAAGGAGGTCCATGGGGATGACACCATGAATTACCATACTGGGTGACACCAACCCTAGTGATGCTACTGTTGTGTTTCTTTCTATAGGTGCACACGCACACTGGCCTTAATTCAACATCTCCTCAGTGCAGACAAATGATCTGCACACAGACCTTATGCTATGCTCAACTTAACTGCTACCTTAACTCCTGCCACCCTGACCTTGGAGGAAGAGAAGAGGCAAACACAGCTCTACCATGCCTAGCCCTCTATCTCAGGGGTAGGCAACCTAAGGCCCGGGGGCCAGATGCGGCCTCCCGAGGCCTTTGGACCAGCCCCAGGCCAGTCCTGCCGCCACCACCGCCGCTGCCCCCTGGCCCCCCGTCCTAATGATATTGGTGATTGTTGTTATTACTTGTTCTTGGGGTTTTCTTGGCAAAATCTCCACAGGGGTTTTGCCATGGCTTTTCTGGGGCTGAGAGAGTGTGCATGCATATATTTATTTATTTATTTATTTATTTATTTATGGTGCTTCGGCCCCCCCCAATTGTCTGAGGGACAGCAACCTGGCCCCCGGCTCAAAAAGGTTGCCTACCCCTAACTGACTTAAGAGAGAGAGAAGAAGAGGCAGTATCTGCTGCACATGATCCCCTTCCCCACTGCCATCCCCCTTTCCTTTTGTGTCATGTCTTTTTAGATTCTAAGCCTGAGGGCAAGGGACTGTCTAATTACCAATTTGCAAGCTACTCTTAGAGCATTTCTGAAGAGCAGGGTATCAATGCAACAAATAAATAAATAAAAATGTGCCTCCTGCAGCGGAGATGGAGGAATTGCCAGACATTTCTCTGATCCTGCCTGTTCACACTGCAGCCCAGAAAGCCTGTATGAGGGTTTTTAAGCAGGTTGGGAATCAGACTTAGGATGCTGCATAGGGAAGATGGGAATACCAACCTCCGCAGCATTGGAAAAAAGGACAACCATACACGTAAGGGTTATGTGTGCGGCTGTTCCTGAATTCTGGCCATAGTTGAAAATGCAACCAACAGCATTGTTTCCAGGTACAACCTGGATAACGAAAGGATACTATAAAAAAGATTTTTGATTTAATATTAAAATGTAATAAAATTATTGATCACAGGTGTTTATTAAAAGTAGAAAAGGTTTTGGTTTCTGTCTTCCTCAGTAATGTCCACAGAGTGGAAGAGATAAAAAAGAGCGGTGGCCTGGAGCATCTTTGTCCAGCTTTGGCTGGTGTACCAACTGCTCCCTTTCCTGGGGAAAGCCGATCTGGTCACAGTGCTTCATGCCCTAGTTACCTCCCGGCTAGACTACTGTAATGTGCTCTATGTGGGGCAGCCGCTGAAAAGTGTGCAGAAGCTGCAGCTAGGGCAAAATGCAGCAATCAGACTGGTGTCGGGTGTGCCTTTTAGATACCGCTTAATGCCAATCGTACAAGAATTGCACTGGCATCCAATTTGCTTCCTAGCTCAATTCAAGGTGCTGATTTTGATCTACAAAGTCCTTAACAGTCTGGGGCCAGGATATTTGAAAGACCACCTCTTCCCGTATTACCCTGCCAGAAAATTGTGATCTTCAGAGGAGACCCTGTTGCATGCCCCAGCACCTCACAATATCAGGTTGCTATATGCAGGTTTACAGGGCATTAGCAGCACTTGGACTGTGGAACTCCATACTCAAGTTACTTACACCAGCTCCATCTCTTCTGACATTCCAGTGGGCAGCAAAAACAGTGCTGGTTTTCATGGACTTCAATATTTGGTCTTTTTTAAAAAATGTATTTTGGGATCGTTTTTAGGTTGCTTTTAAACGTTTTTAAAAAGAGGATTCTAATGTGCTTTTTAAATGTTTTATTTTTGCATTGTTTTGTGTTTACTAGTTCATTGCCTCGGGAGTCCCTGCAGTCTTGAAGGCAATACAGAAATATGTTAAATAAATAGCACCCTGTGGCAGTTATAGAATTCACAGAGTCTAATGCTGCTGCCACACTGCAGAAATAATGCAGTTTGACACTGCTTTAACTGTTCTGGCTCCTTCCTTTGGAATCCTGGGATTTGCAGTTTGTTATGGCAGCAGAGCTCTCTGACAGAGAAGGCTAAACATTATACAAAACTACAAATTCCAGAATTCCATAGCACTGAGCCATGGCAGTTAAAGCAGTGTCAATTCCGAAGTATAGATGCAGCCTAAGAATGGAATTTGGCAGATGGAACTGGCAGTAATAGATTCATTTTAAGGAGTTTTAATATTATGGCTTGCTATGACTGCTGCGAGGGCCGGCATGATGTGGCGGTTTGAGTAATAGACTAGGACACTGGGACACCAGGGTTTGAATCCTGACTTGACCATGGAAACCCATTGGGTGACCTTGGGCAAGTCACATTCTCTCAGCCTCAGAGAATGGCAATGGCAAACTCCTTCTGAAGAAACTTGCCAAGAAAAACCCATTATAGGTTCACCTTAGGGTCACCTGAAGGCACACAACAACAACAGTATGATTAATGCAATGGCGATAACAATGTCCCCCTGCCCTTGACCTTGTCCCTGGGGGTCCCACCTCCAGATCACAGAAGGTGAAGTCGGGCAGCCGGGTGATCTGGTTGCCAGCCAGGTAGAGGACACGCAGATGCTCCAAGCCCTTGAAGATGCTGCTGTTGATGAGGTGGATCCGGTTGCCGTTCAGCGCCAGTTCCAGCAGCCGGTTCTGGTTGCGAAAGGCGCCTGGCTCCAGCGCCGAGATGGTGTTGTTCTGCATGTAGAGGTACTGCAGACCAAAAAGTGAGGCCAGGTCTTGCTGGTGGATTTGCGTGATACTGTTGTCTTGGAGGAAAACTGTCTGCAGGAGCGGGGAAAGAGAGAGAGATATACAAGAGATGAACATGGTCAGTCAGAGGAATCCAGAGCCAGGAATGCAACATCTGGAAGGCCATGTCTAAGTGGCATTGCACTGTTATAATGGTGCAGTGGAGACACACTCTTGGTCACCCCTAGCCTGCCTTCTGAAGGCTGGTTTCATAGGTTGCATTTGCAAAAGACTGGTGAAAGTTTTTTGTAATGGGACTAATCCTCCATCCATTTGTGTTGTTGTGTGCCTTCAAGTTCTTTCCCATTTATGAAGACCCTAAGGCAAACATATCATGGGGCTTTCTTGGCAAGTTTCTTCAGAGAGGGTTT